TCAAAAGGAACGTACATCGATAAACTTCTCATGAATTCGCAATTCATAATCTCGAGATTATTTTTCCTTGCACTTCTCTTTTCTTTCTTTCTTTTTTATTTACAATGACGAATTCCTTTCAAAACAACGAAAAAAAAAAAATATCTACTCTACTCAGCGAATATAATGAATAAATAAACTACGCACAACGAGAATAATACAAAAAGGGGCCGCTATATACAAAATAAAAAGGAACTCCTGTTTGAACGTTTGCGAAACTTTATACACATCACAATACCGTTAACTCAATGGTTCTAATCTCGACACGGAAGGTTGCAAACGAATTTGCGTCAATGAATGTCTGGCATGATTCGAACGATTGTCCATGACGTTTCTTTTAGAAATCTTGAAACAGAGCCAGTTGTTCCGGCGGCAATGGAGGTTGAGAACGCCAATCGGTTTCCGGATAATCGTCAAAACAGCTTGGATCGCCTGGTGCCTTCACTCGTGGTCTTATTGGGGGTGTAAGAGCTCTTTGAGGTACCTGTTCGTGTAAAATAATAATGCAACGATATATACAAATGACTTTATTCATTTTAAAATAACAAAAAAAAAAAAAAGAAAATATTATTTTCAATTCGAATTGAATTACCAACGGCCATTCGACTAATTTGAACCAACGATGCCTTTTCACGTCATCGGCACCTTGCCTCATATTTCCTAGCCTTTTCGTACGATCTGCAATTAAAAGCTTTTTGATCAAATCCTTGGCGATTGGATCCATATGTTTTGGCCATTCTATCCTGCCGCTCAATATCTTCTCGTAGATGCCAAAGGGATTGTCATCAAAAAATGGCGGAAAACCGGCCAACATTTCGTAGATCAAAACACCGAGCGCCCACCAGTCAACTGCCTTATTGTGTCCTTTGCTCTGAATTATTTCTGGCGCCAAATATTCTGGTGTGCCGCACAGAGTCCACGTTCTGCAATCGTGATTTCCGATAATAATTATTCTCTGGTGTATATATATATATATATATATATA